TTGCTTCTCACATCGACGATCACACTAATCTCTGATTCCAGTAAACGAAAAAAGACTAAAATTTCGCAAAAAACTTCCGCAATCGGACAGCCGTTAAACGGCAAGAGCACATCTGCTTGAGCTAACTGCTCAGCTATCCTAAGTGGTTTTAGTCACTTAAGCAACGCCGAAACGTGTTGTAATAATAAAGGAAAAAATATATTTATATTTATTTCTTTTTAATTAAACTATTTTTGATTAGTAATAGTTTTTTTTGTTGTTGTTGACTTTATTATTCACTTTTCTATTTGTTCCTTTTATTATCAAAAAGAAAAAAAATTAAAACTCCTTCCTTTTTTGTTAATAACCTACCTAAACAACGTTTTTTATAGCCAGCGGTATTCGGTGGACATTTACAAATATTACCAACACATTTCGAACCATTAGTACACTGAGCATTTTCAGCACAAATTTCGCCAATCTGTACAACTTTTTCACATTTCCCATCTACCATCACCTAAACAACGGAGATTATTATATCAACTTTTACTATTTTTCCAACAAATAACAACAATTTCTTTGACGAATTTTTTTTAATAATTTTGTTATATGCACTTAATTTTTTTTGTCAACAACAGTTTAAGCCGCGTAAAAAATTTTGATTTGTTAACATCAACCTCATTTTCTTCGCATCCATCAACCTCTTCACTTTCGTTTTCTTCGTCCATCTCTCCAATACGAATACAAACTTCATCAATTTCCTTTGTACCTTTCGGGCAAACACAAAACAGATCAACACAATGTGATCCATAAAGGCATTGGTTAGACACCAAACATGGCGAACCAATGGCTCCACGCTCTCTGTATTATGAAATCTGACTTGTGGCAAGAAAAATGTTAAATGGCGCTTACAAGCCGCTGTTTTTCAATCCTCATAACAAATTTTGAAATTCATTTCTTAAAGTTAAATTTTTAAAATTTCATACTACAATTACCTGCATTCACCATTGACCAATACTTGGCTTGGCAAGCACCTCATATCCCTGCTATAACCATTCCTACTGTTTTTTGAAGACTTTTTACTCAACGCTAAACTTGCCGCAATACTTGTTAAAAAGTCAATTTCTCTACTGGTATTTCGCACTGTACAACATTGATATTTAGAAGTTTTTGTACGCTGACAGCTATAACCTGTCGGACAATATGAAACATGTGGAGAGCATTCCTTTGGAAGACCTGTCATGTCGACAAAAGCTACACTTTCACCAGGACACCCTAAACAAACAAACAGGACTACTAAAATCGTTGCAAGCAATTTATATCAAACTAATGACTTAAAAGCTTAAGAATGCTGGACAGTCAGTTTATTAGCCCTTCAACTTCTAGATGACCAGTACAGTAATGTAACGAATTTCGAATGCTAACAAGCTTTACCTGACTTATGGGCGCAACACTGAAACTGCCTGTTCCTTTCCGAAAACTGACAAAAATATCCTAGCGGGCATGATGACGCTGAAGACGTACAAGGAATTACACTACGGGTTACTGGGTTCAGTAATGCCACTTGTGATGGAGGACATCCGAATTCTGAAAAATAAAATAACCAGCCTCTTACCTTATGATAACAATTTTTGAATTTACAAATAAGTGCCTATAGTACAAACGAGGAATTTTTTTTAGAATGTAAGAAAGTCTTAGCTGTGCATTTCGTAATGAGACGGTCAAGAAGAAAACGATATAATTTGCAATTTGTAAGGTACTAAGAAGTTCTCAAATCTTTTTCTAAACCTCCAGAAACTATTCTACATTTATTTCCTCAATAAACACCCAACTTTAGGATTATGGAGTTTATACACTACTCAACAAAAAAGTTAAAAAATCTTAAACCTTGTTCAGAAATCTCTTCCTCCTCAATAGGTTCCTTTCCGCAGCATTGGTATCTTTGAAAAGCAATCGAAAATTGACACGAATATCCTGACGGGCAACCCTTATTTTCAGTGTTAAACGGGTCGCAGTGTTCAATAACACCTTTTATTGCATAAGCATATTCACCTGGTGGACATCCTTCTAAAAAATGTGCGTAAAAAAAGTTCGAGAATAAATGAATATTTTTTATGATAAAAATATATCAGCTAATTTACTACAAGCAGCACCTATTGGAGCATTGATGTCTCCCTTACAACAGAAGCCATGCTGTGAAGATGCTGATGATTTGTGGCAGCGATAACCAGCTGGACACGCTATAAATGCACCAGGCGTGCAGATCCGTGGCATTTTAGTTTTTTCATCAATCAGAAATTCGGCATCATTTTTACAAACATCTAAAGCGTATACCGGAGTCAAGCCAAATTTATACTGTGAAATTAGTATTATTTCATTACTTTCTCTGATGTGGTTGTAGCCAGTATAACGGTCAAAGTTCACGTTAATAAAGGTGTTTCGTGTCAAGAGAACAACCTACTTTGTGTTGAGCAACAGTATCCTTGCAAAACATCTTTCGTACGGCTCTGACAAGAAAAACCTTCCGTACATATGTTTATTGGACTATGCATTGTACATCGTATAGGCAGAAGCAATTTGGATCCACGGTAAAGAGCTTTACCGTCCGGACAAACATCTGAACTATTTCTTCGCTTATTTCAACAATTAGCTTATCTCAGTCTGGCTTTTACTAAAACCCTGATGAAAATGTCACGCACTGTTCTAATCATTTCAGAAATGAAAACGAAAGACGGCACATACTTCCATTTTTCGATGCACAGCAAAAATACCGATTTTTTGCTGGTGAAAATCGGCACAAGAAATCTGCCGGACAACTTCCAGGTACATTGATTGCGCATTCACGTACGGATTCATCCAGAGGATTCATGAATGCCTTTTCGCCAACTGGGCATACATCTTTAAAAAAATATTTATTGTAATTATGCAGAAAAATTTCTTATTGCACAGTGATAATAAACAATTAACTTTAGAAATTGATAACTTTAGAAGAGTCTTAAAGTTAGAAATAATTACCCATATGTGTAGATCCGCAACATACATGACGAGCTCCCAAAGCATCGTAACGACAAGTATAATCTGGTGGGCAACTGTTCACCAATAAATTATTACATTCAACTACCTTCTTACTGTTAACATCCTTGTATGTAGTTTCACCAGCAGCGCAACCTATAATGCTAATAATAAGAACTTATTGGACATCAAAAAACAGTCTCAAAACACACAAAAAAAGTGGAATACACGAGCGAATCTAAAAAGTACCAACCGGCAGATGCGCAAAAATTGTTACACTGTTCTAACGATACAAAATTATTCAAATTTCCGTTACAGCCATTGTACGAAAATTTGGCACATTCCTTGGTAACAATGTTAAAATAGTAGCGAGTTATAGCCATTTTTGAGCAATGGTTTCCTTGTTGCGGAGGCTGACTGCATATAAACACTGTAAAAACACAAAAATCACCAAAAAAAAA